TAAAAATTGTCAAAGTTGAAATTTATAATAAAAACATAGTAAGTGGACTCAAACTTTTGGAAGCAACTGTATATATTCTTTATAATTTTACATATTAAAAAATTTTTTTATTATTTTAATATTTAATTCTTATAATTTTTTAAAAATCAATTATTTATAAATTTTTTATTTTTAAATTAAAATTTAAAAATTTCGTAAAAACTTATTTATTAAATTATTAAAAATACATAATATATATAAAAGTTTATAATAATTAGATAATTGATTTTTTATTTATAAATAAAAATAATAAATAATTTTTTTTAAAAGCAAATATCCGATACTGCAAAATTTTATTATTCTATATCATTTTAAATTAAAAAAACAAATTAATTTAAAAAATAATCTATAGTTTAGATCTACAGTATTTGTTATATTGATTTAAACTTATAAAATTTAAATTAAGAATTGAAAATAGAATAAAAATTATAAAATAAAAAAAAATTTTGAAAAAATTTTTTAAAAAATAATAATAATTAATAATAATTATTTAATTAAAAATATAAAATGATTTAAAAATAATAATAATAATTAATATAATCATTTAATTAAAAAAATGCCACCTAATATGATGTGTGGCGTCAAATCGTTGCGAGAACCGGGTATTCACGTTATCTCCTGATAGTCGCCAGCCTCTTTATCCAAATCATACTTCAATTCGGCCGGTCAATTAGCATTAAAGCATTAAGTTTCTTGGTATCTAATAATTGTTTACGCCGGCCGGTAAATCTGCAGTAGCGGTTGATCCACTGGTTTATGATGTTCTCATTTCGGCTTGTTAATAGCCGCGAGAACTTTCCTTCAAGTCGGCCGGTCAATCGGCGGTGAAGTTAAGTCGATGGGTATTCAGGTTATCTCCTGATATTCGCCATCCTCCTAATTAGAATCGCACTTCATGTCGGCCGGTAATTCGGTGTGAAGCATCGAATTGCTCTGATTGTTTGCGTCGGCCGATTAATTGCCAGTAGCAGTTAATTCGCTGGTTTACAATATTCTCATGTCGGCTTGTTAATCGCCTCGAAAACTTACTATCATATTGGCCGGTCAATCGGCGGTGAAGTTAAATTAGTGAGCATTTAGGATATTTGGATAGTCTTCAGCGAAGCATTAAGTTTCTTGGTGGGCGTAATAACACCTCCTTCATATCGATAGAATTATCTTTGATTGTATCACACCAGCACAGATTATATAATAAATTTACATAAGAGAGAAAATTGGAAATCTATTACAAATATATCTTTGACTTTTTATATGATGAAAATCTGGTGATAATTAATACCATGCGACAGATAATCATTATTTTTTCAGCAAAACTGCAGGTCAAACGGTTTAGAGCATCTGATTTAATTTATATAACATTACAATAAGTAGAGAAATCAATAATTGTATTACTAACACGAATCGCGCTAGAAGAGTCTAACTTAATATCAAGATGAACCTGCCTCACTTAATAGTAGTACATATTAGATTGAATAAAAAAAGTAATTAGCTGATTTACTTAATTTTAATAACCAATCAAATTATTCAATTACACGTCTGTAAATAAATAATCATTTTAAAACCAAACGCGTAAATTGATCCGCTTTTCCTCATTTTAATTTTCTTTTTCAAAAACATGAAGACAACTACCGTATTAGAAATGAAAGCGTAATGCTGCCCTGGGTACAGATTTATGAAGAATGGTTAAGCTCACTTAAAAGAATTAAAAACTATAAAAGGATTCCAGGCTGTATATCTTCATTATGCAAAGAACTACTTAACAGAAATAATAATTTGGAAGGTTCTTCGGTCCTAAAAAGCTGCATGCGATCATATATTAAAAATAATCAGCATTTTCAAATCTAATAATTCTAATAAAATTGAAACTCACTCGAATATTCCAGGCAACTCTTAATGCGACTATCAAGGATTGATACGTTGAATATGTAAGTGGAAGATTAAAAATTTTTAGGTGATGTAGAAAATACACATCACGCTTCTCTATTAGATATACGCGAATCTCCGTCATATACGTCTATTCCAAGTAAAATGTATTAAGTAAATAGCTTATAATGAAGTATATTATAATAATAATAAAAGTATACCTGTATTCCTACTATATATGGTTGTAATCCTTTCTTCAGAATTGTCAAAATTTTGATTCTAAATCATCTAACATATCCTTCATGATTCTTGGAAGATGAAATTCATCCGAAGCAAGCTTTGTTAAATTTTGATATTTAGATCCACCACTGGCCAGCAAACAAGCAATCTCAAACTGCCCACAATTGCATAAAATATTCACTCGATGACCTTGATCAAACTGTTCAACAGGTATATCTTTGCTATTATTACGACGGCGTGAGGTTGTTAGTACAGAAATATTACCCCAAATATAAAAATTATTATCTTATGTATATAACAAATGAAATAATTCGCAACTTACCATTGAACACAAAATTTGCCATCTAAATTAAAACTCCTTTTATTAAAGGGACCAAATAATTACCAGTCCATTCCCATTCATGACAGTCATTTTGAAGTGGATTTTGGCATGATTCGAATGCCTTCAAGCTATAGATCCAAAAAAAATAAAACCGTTATTATAAACAGGTCGTATAAAAATCTCACATAAATAATAGAGAGTAATAACATACAAACGTCCTGTTATTTGCTCAACCCAAAGTTTTATTTTCTCCCAATCATTCTCTTTATACGAAAACTCATTATTGTATTCAGGAGACGCTAAATTTCTAATATCGTACCACTTTTTACGAGCTTGTGAAAGATTCATCTGAGAAGTAGGAAAAAATCAAAGTGATATTAGAATGAGACAATTTCAATTTTTACTAAGAATCCTTACTTTTTCGCTAAATAAGTGGGAAATAAGTGGCTCGATTTCATGATGGTATGACTTCTGAGCCTCTTTAGGTCCTCTATTGACTAACTCAGCCCATTCTTCATCACTAAATTGGCTTCTTATTTTTGAGGATGGAGATAAGTCTATAATAAAGCTACATGCAAGACTAAAAAAAAAAGTTAAAGTGAATGGTGACAAAAAATATAAATCCATCATTATGACTTACTCAAAAGCTGACGTAGTTTCTTTCATGCAATATTTAGTCAGAACAGATAGTAAATATGTTGTTTCTAGCTTCTTCGGCTGCAGACGCGGCTCAAGGGAAGTTGATGCATGATCGGATGAATAAGCTTTATAGTCATGATATTGCTCTTAATTGATATAACTTTTTTAAGAATTACATGAATATTCATGAATAATTGCAAGTTTGGCTACCATCTGACTGTTCTCGTCGTTTTCGAGTATTTTCTCTGCCTGGCTTTCTTTTTCTTACGGCCGTGTGTAATGCCTCGTGAACCTCAGTTCTCTTCACATTCTGTGGGTTCTGATTTAAATCACATTATATTATTATTGTTTAAAAAAGATTATAATAACATTCTCAATAAGCTTCTTATATTAGGCTACATACATAATTAATAAGATAATCTTTAATATCTCCGATGTCTTCTGATTTATCAGAAACGATCTGTATACATAAAAAGATAAAAGTGAATTTTATTGCAGACTATATAATAAATAGAGGAAAATATCTACTTTGTCTTCTGGGCTTGGTTCGTTCTCTTCTTCATCGTCCGATACAATAATTGTTGCAGAATGTTTCTATAAGGATATAAAAGAATGTTTAAGAAGAACTAAGATTAGTTGTCTCATTTCTCCTGTCTCCTACCTTAGATGACTCGCTGCCGGATCCATTTTCAATATTTATTTCTAATTGTTTCACTCTTTCTGTTAACCCTAACTTACAATTACATTTATAGAATTATTGTACCATTGCATGCAGCTTTTTAGGACCGAAGAACCTTCCAAATTATTATTTCTGTTAAGTAGCTCTTGCATAATGAAGATATACAGCCTGGAATCCTTTTATGATTTTTAATTCTTTTAAGTGAGCTTAACCATTCTTAATAAATCTGTACCCAGGGCAGCATTACGCTTTCATTTCTAATACGGTAGTTGTCTTCATGTTTTTGAAAAAGTAAATTAAAATGAGGAAAAGCGGATCAATTTACGCGTTTGGTTTTAAAATTTACAGACGTGTAATTGAATAATTTGATTGGTTATTAAAATTAAGTAAATCAGCCAATTATTTTTTTTATTCAATCTAATATACTGTATACTACTATTAAGTGAGTATTCAAATATTAAATCAGATGCTCTAAACCATTTGATCTGCAGTTTACTGTCGCATAGTATTACCGTAAACCACTGCATACAATACCCCCCCTTAAATAATACCCGGTAGTATTCAAGAAAATTGTTACTCAATAAATGATTACTACCCGGGTATATTAAGCTAGAGCCAATAAAATTGCAGTATGAATGGGCAAGTGAGAGATACTAAATATCCCACCATTTATACTACCCCCCTTCTAGTAGAATATCCCCCTGGATACTAATCAATTTATTATGGAGTAAATTGATTAATACCCAGGGTATTGTATGCAGTGGTTTATGGTAATTACTATACTACAAATCTATTAGTCATTATTAAGTATTTTTATTGACTTTAAAATTTAATTAAAAATATTGTTTTATATAGTTATAGTATTAAAAAAGATTTAAGTAATTAAAAAATTTTTTATTATAATTATCTTTTTTTTTTTATAATGCTAGCTTAGCCTTGTTTTATTTGAAAATTATGCAATATTATTATATAGAGACTATTCTAGAATATATTATCTATCTACTACCAAATAAAACTTAATAAAGTGTCCTTGCAATTGAAGGAGATTTATCTTGAAACTTGTTGTCACCTCTTTATAGGGAGCTAACCTGTCAAGGTTGGGCTAGTGCTGAAATAAATTTCAAATATATAAAAGCTATCTATTAAATTTGCAATTCATTGATTTATAAAACAATTTACTAGGTGAATGAACTTTTCTTTTATATATATTTCCCTTGGAGTAAAAGCTGTATCATCTTTTTTGACTTCATATTTAATCTGTTTTTCTTTTTTTCTTTTCTTCTTTGATTCTAATTCTGGTATTTCATTCTTGAAAGGTATTACATCTTTTTTTCCAGATCTGATAAAGATATTTAATAGTTTCTATATATATTGCTATTAGGTATTTTTTTCTGGTTGTTCCATTTAGGATAACTAATTTTATTTTTTGTATTAATTCTTTAAAGAAAGTACCTTTGATTCTTGCTATCAAATATTCCTTGAATTTTAAGTTGTTTTTGTTTTGGAAGTGTAATATAAAAGTTTTAGACACTTTTTTTCACATATGGTTTTGTATGTATATTGTAATTGTATCAATTATAAACTTTTCAGTTTCTAATCTGCTTTGTTAACAAATGAAGGGATATGTACTTGTTTTTGGCTTATCACATTTATTGCATTAGTTATTTATATAGATAGATAGTAGTTTTATGTGTAATTTACTTTTGGTTAATAGTTTATTATTTTAAAAGCTGAGACAAAATTTTCTCAGTTTCTGTTTCTTCTAGTTTGTATGATAGTTGTTTATCTTGGTAGGTTGTAGCTATTTTATTGTTGCTTGTCAGTTTATTTTTTTGAATAGTCTCTCATTAAAATTATATCTGGTTTTGTTTAGAAGGTGACATTTGATCAAGTAAACTACTTTCATTAGTTTTTATGTAATATATTTTATAAAAACTTCAATAGAGATGTTATTCTATTGTGATATTATTTCTAACTCTGGGTTTTTATTTGTAATATTTTTATTTCTTTTTTTCTGGGTTTCATGCCTTTTCAAAGATTTATTCAAGCTAGCCAGTCTACTGTTTTATTGTAATATATTCCTAAATTGCTCTTTATTTTATAAAGCTTTATATTAAGTTTTCTTTATTTTTGTAAGGCTTTAATTTGTAGGAGGAGGTTCAAGTTTTTTTGTTTTTTTATGATTTTGCTAATTTTTTTTTTGTCTTTTCTATTTCATTGATAGTTGCTTGACTATTTATATAGATGTTTGCTATACTACATTCTGGCAGAATGCTGAGTATTATTAAGATAGTTGTTATTTTAGCTCTAGTAAAGGATAGATGTCTTTTAATTTATTAATAATTATTTACTATTTAATTATTATATAAAAATATATAAATTTATCTTTGTTTACTTTTTGTGAAATTATAGAGTAACTATATTATTAACTTAATTTAATATTTTTTCTATTCAAATAATTATTGATCTTTTTTATTTATTTTATTTATTTGTTAAATTTATTAATAAATTGTCTTTATTATAATATACCAATTTTCTTCATGTATAATATATATGAACTTTATTATATAATTTTTTGTTTATATTAACTAATATATATATTTTATATAATTTATTTTTTTATTTAAACTTGAATAGTAATAAGTAAGAATACTCTACTATTTAATTTTTAAAAATTTTTTATTATCTTTTAAGTTTTATAAACATAAAGTTTTTTTTTAATTTATTAATAGAAATTTTAACATTTCTTCTAGTATTAAAAGGATATAAATTGAACTTAATTTAATTGGAAATTTATATATTGATATTAATCTTTTATAAATTATTACAAATTATTTTATTAATATAGCTTTTTTATACTCTTTCCGCTGATCCTAAATTTCCTTAAAAAAATTTCCTTTTTCGGTAATTTTCTTGGAAAACTCAGAAGCCAG